CCCGGGTTACATGGATCCGACTTACATCGGATCCCTACTTACAACCGGGGTGAGGCACCCCCGCACTAGCTACTTCCCCCCAGCAGACTAGGGAGATGCGAAGCTAGCGCGTCCCCCTCCCCCCGCCCAGCAGACCAGGGAGAGGTGGAGCGGCTTTTCTCAGCAGACACTTCAGCTTGAGAATAAAGGGCTGAGGGAAGTGAGGTGTGGGAGAATAAAACTGAGCTCTGGAGAAATGTTTGGCTAGAGTTTCCCCTACAATATGTACCAGTTCCGACTTACATACAAATTCAACTTAAGAACAAACCTACAGTCCCTATCTTGTACGTAACCCGGGGACTGCCTGTACATGTATTTAAATGGCAGCTATTGTTATTGTGATTGGTCATTAGAATAATACATTTGCTGAGTTTTAGAATCTCTGGCTCACAGACATTTGCGAAACTTTAAATAATAAAAGTCAGTTCAAGTTCATTTTTTGTAAATTATGTGACATGGCTGTCCAACTAGGGACCAACTAGGGATTTGTATTGGATTGACTATGAAATCTTGGGTTCAGTTCCATCTAGGATTAAGAACAAAATTTAAGGAAAACCAGATCAGGCACATGTTGTTGCTGTAATAATAATAATAATAATGCTAATAATAACAACAGTAACAACAAAAATAGTAATAAAGTGATCCATGTTGCACAGTTTTGTTCATACTGTGTTTGTGCACAAAGATACTAAAGGAATTTTTACTTCCCTTTTCTTTTTTCTATTTTGTTCATTCATGTTGTTTCTTTACTTTCTTAATATGGACTTCCGAGGTTAACGCCCAGCTTACATTAGCTTAAAATTTTTATACACTCATTTTTACCTGTGGAGACACCAGATGAAGCACTGTTAACTTCCAATTTTAGAAAAAGAGACCTGTTCATAGAACAGCTTGACATATCTACAGTTCTGTTAATCAAAGATATGGAGAATTATTTCTCTACTAAGAAAAGGAATAGGGCAGGACATCCATTTACAGTTTGAAAAAGCTTTTTCTCTAATCATGTATGAAAACCAGTATTTAAAATACTGGATGCCAAGCAGTGTACTTATAAATTATGGCTTTTTTGTGCCAATCAATTTTTCTCTGTTTAGAGATACTTGTGGTAACTTTCTCAATAACATCATACCTTGGCACTGTAATATCAAATTTGTTCTATCTGCAGATATTAGAAATATAATTTTATATTACTTCTTGTATATTTATTTTATATATATATTGAATCATTGTAATCAAGCAGATGAGATAAAATAACTAGAAAATGATAAAATAACCTGAGAAATGAGATGGACCTTGTACCATGCATCAAATGTGAATTCTGTTGAACCAGTCAGTGAAGTGAAATGTATAAAATTGATTTATCCTGATTAACATCTATGTCAAAGGCTCTTAACTTCTCTCAGACACAAAACAGCAGCAGAATTGTAAAATGTCTCTGTGGAAACGCGTGTATAGGTTTTGTTGCTGTAATTCACATTTGAAAATATTGTTGAACAAAAAATTGTGAATGGAAGTTAATAGAATTCATTTTATTTACTATTTTGAAACCCTAAAATGTGGTCATAAATTTTATCTATCAGCTAACAATTAAACTGTGTGTTCTTGATAACTTAAAATAAATTATTATCATTTTTATCTTCCAAAAGACTGTTTGTCCATGTACATAGTCTTTCTGTTCTTTATTTCTGCAACGTTTTATGTGTAATGTTTACATGAAGCGGTAGTAGATTCTTCTTCGAGAGGCATCGCAGGGGGTGCTCCTCAGTAGGTGTTGAGAGTCCCATTGCCTCTGGACAGAGTTTTGCCTAGCAGTGCATCAGGGGGCTGCGTATGTGCGGCACGTCGAGCGCGTGGGCTTCCCCCAGTAGCTATGCGCATGCGCCCCTCCCCCCCTTAGTTCCTTTCTACCGTCCCCGACTGTGGACGGAACTCGGCAGTGCTCTCCTCTCCTCTCCTCTCCTCTCCTCAGAACAAACTTGTGGAAAATTAGTTGGTTTTTTATTAATAGTTAGTTCTCTGTTACAGTTATTGTTAGTTAGATTTAGTATAGAGTTAGTTTAAAAAAAAAAGCAGTGCGGGTCTTGAGCCTCTGCCCATCTTCAAACGCTGTGCGCTCTGCAAGGACGTGATGTCTGCCTCTGACAGGCATGACACCTGCCTCAAATGCCAGGGGAACTCTTGCTCTCAGAGGGATTGCCCCCACTGTGCCAAGGTTAAAGAAAGATTGCGCAAAGATAAGGAACTTAAACTCAAAATGCTCCTCTCAGAGAACAGCAAGGGACATGCCTCTGACCCAGCTCTGGGCAGAGTAATTTATCCAACAATGATAAGCCTAAGCCCTCCAAAAGAAGGGCAAGCTCGTTACCTCAGAAACCCATAAAGAGGCACTCTGAGGTAAAAAAGTCAGACCACTCAGATAAGAACCGTCTGAGTACGTTTGACCACCCAGGTACTTCGGGCGAACAGCATAATAAGCCAGGGGGCACTTCAAATGCTGCCCTTAAAGAGGCATCAGGCCACTCCGTGCCTGCCTCAGATACCCCGGTATCGCTGACCGTTATGGCAGCTCCACTGGTACCTCAGCCTCTCACGAGGGTACCTAGAGAAGGGATAGAGCACCCATTCAGTACTGCCCCTCCTTCTCAATTATTAGGGGCGACAGCTCTCCCACTCAGCTCTGTACAAAGAGCGGGCTCCTCTCAGTTAGAGCAGCCCCCCGCACCACAAATTCCCCTTATCACCTACAGGGAGAACAAAGATTTACAGATTGCTTCAAGGCTTCACTCCCCTGTTTTGAGTGAAGATAGATATCTTCCTTCACTACTTTCTGATTAATCAGATCCACCTTCCCCCCCTCTCATTAGAAGAGGGAGAGGAATTGGCTGCCTTCTCACCCCAACTGTCTCCTTATTCAGAAGCAGCCAGATCTCTTCAGAGCACAAATGACTCCCTGGGCTTCCTATTTGTGGATGCCTCCGCCCATGGCGTACCCCCCATAGTGGCAAATGTGGAACCAACCCACACAACAGCACAAAAAGAAACCATTTAAAACTAAGCATATCAATAAGCCTCCTTCACGCTTTACTGAATCTCCTCACAGATATGTTCAGAGGAGTGTTAATGAGTATCTATATTCCCCAAGGTCAACGATGGAATTTGTGGCCCAGACAACATCATTATCAGATACAGGGGAAGCAGTTCTACTTCCATCCTCTAACACTTCAGAGGACGTCTCTTCCTTCCAAGACCTATTCAAAAGAGTCGCACAAGATTTAAATATTCCCATAGAGGAAGTATAGGATACTCCCCACAAGCTTACTTACATCCTACAAGCGAGTGCATCTGCAAAGATCGCTCTTCCTATTAATTCAGCCATCCTACAGCCCGCAAAAACTTTATGGCAGACACCTGCCTCGATTCCCCCCATGAGCAAAAAGGCATATCGAAAGTACTATGTGCCTCCCAGGGGATCTGAATTTCTCTTTACACATCCCCCTCCGAACTCCCTGGTGGTGGATGCTGCATAACAAAGAAATTAGCAGCAAAATCGCTCAACCCTATCTGACAAAGTGAATAAAAGATTAGACTCGTTTGGCAAAAAGGCGTATGCCTCAGCCACTCTCTAGCTGAAGGTAGCAAATTATTCAGCCCTGCTCAGTAAATACGATTACAACAATTACATGAAACTGAACATATTTATTGAAGATCTCTCTGAAAGTAAAAAAATCACATTTCAAAGCAATTGTCTCTGAGGGACAGACAATTTCTCATATAGCGCTACAAGCTGCTCTCGATGCAGCAGACACAACCACAAGAACTGCTGCCACAGCGGTCACTATGAGGCGAGCCTCTTGGTATTACTCCTCCACTTTTCCTCAACAGCTTCAGACAGCAGTAGAAGATTTGCCCTTTGAAGGGGAAAACCTCTTCTCCATGAAGACTAATGAAGTCCTTCAATCCAGGACTCCAGAGCCTTTCTCAGATCTCTAGGGATCCAAACACCTGCAACAAGGGCGAGACAATATACCAACCATATCATAGATCAAAGTACCCGCAACCCCCATTCCAATATCACAGACAAGAATACCTCTCTTACCTACAGCAGGGTCGAAATAGGAAGCAGAGGCGACGGTCCCAGAGTAACACCTCTAACCATCCATCACAATCGAATAAGCAAATTTGAAATTACAGTCGAAAGACCGAAAACCAGACCACCCATCCCAGAACTCCAGAATCTTTCCAAACTTTTTCATTTTCATCTGCTTCCATTCTGACATCAGTGGGAATTAATTACCTCAGATAAATGGATTCTGCAAACCATCTCACTAGGGTACAGTATCCCCTTTCTCTCCCTTTCTCCTGCCCACCCTTCTACCCCCCACCTCTCTTCAGGGACCCATCTCATGAGGTAGACCACCTGCATGCAACAGGAGGTAGACCACCTGCTACAACTAGGGGCCATAGAGCCGGTTCCACCACAATTTCGCAGAAAGGATTTTATTCCCATTATTTCCTCATAGAAAAGAGGACTGGTGGGTGGAGACCCATCCTGGATCTCAGATCCTTGAACCAGATACATAAAGAAACCGAGATTTAGAATGGTTACCCTAAACACAATTATCCCAGCTCTGAAGATGGGCGACTGGTTTTCCTCTCTCGACTTACAGGATGCATACTTCCATATTTCCATTAGACCATCTCACAGACGTTTTCTCCATTTCATTTTAGGTACATACTATTTTCAGTATACAGTCCTGCCCTTTGGACTCTCTACAGCTCCGAGAGTATTTTCCAAGATGTTAGCAGCAGTCACTGCCCATCTCAGAAGACAAGGGGTCACCATATATCCCTACCTGGACGACTGCCTAGTCAAAGCAAGGTCCAGACAGGAGTACCACCATCACAGTAACATGGTCCTAAGCTGCTTTCACTCCCTTGGGTTATGTCTACACTCACGGCTTCTTGCGCAAGTATGGCCATTCTTGCGCAAGAATCTGCAGAGGGTCCACACTGCCCGCCCGCTCTTGCCCAAGGAAATTTACAGTAGGCCATGGTAAGAGAAGGTTTCTTGCGCAAGAGCTATGCTCTTTTTTTAACAGGTGTAAGCCCTCTTGTGCAGGAGCTCTTGTGCAAAAGCACCACTCCCACATGGCAGTACTCTTGCGCAAGAAGCCGCCAGTGTTGACATAGCCGGACTCCTCGTGAAACAATCCAAATCAATGCTCACGCCCTCTCAATCCATCCAGTTTATTGGGCACACCTCAACTCTGTCACAGCCAGAGCCTCCCTCCCTGCTGACAGATCCACTCGCATCAGTCACCAGGACATGCCTGCAGTCACTGTACTCGACTGCTTTCAACTTCTGGGGCATATGGCTTTCTGCAACCCAGTGGTGCCCAACGCACAACTCTTTATGAGGTGTCTTCAGGGTTGGCTCCGAACCCAATACAAACCACACATTCATTCAATGACCAAAAGACTAATACTTCCACGCTCAGTCAAGGCATCTCAGTCAAGGCATGTTTAAAGTGGTGGACAAGAATGTCTAACCTAAGTACAGGCATACCCTTCCAATCCACAGAACTAACAATAGTCATCACCACAGACGTGTCACTCATGGGCTGGGGTGCTCATGGGCGTGAAAGGAAGACCAGCTCAAGGCATATGGTCTGCTGCAGAGCGTGCTCTACATATCAACGTTTTAGAACTCAGAGCTATTTGCCTGGCATGCCAAAAATTGCTCCTTCAAATCAAAGGGATACATGTCCACATTTACACGGACAATATGGCATTCATGTTATATATAAATTGCCAAGGTGGAGCACAATCGCAGCCTCTGTGCAAAGAAGCCATAGCCCTCTGGAACTGGGCATTAGCACGAGATGTTCGCGTATCTGCTTGCCGTCTGCTCGGGGCACTCAATACGATAGCCGATGCCCTAAGTAGAGCCCTTCCCCAAGAACACGAATGGGAGCTAGACCACACAATACTGATGAAAATATTCAGCCAATGGGGTTACCCCAACATAGATCTGTTTGCCACCAGAACCAACAGAAAATGCATGATGTATTAGTCCAGAGTGCGCATAGGGAAACAGTCTTTAGGGGACGCTTTGAATCTAACATAGAATGCACCCCTGCTATATGCATTTCCCCTCTTCAACAGAGTCATTATAAAGATATGGAGGGACAAAGCAAAGATCATCCTTATAGTGCCATGTTGGCTGCACCAACCCTGGTTTCCCCTACTACTCAGGATGACACAGAGCCATCCAATCACGCTACCACAAGTCCCACATATCCTTCATCACCCACAAATCAGGACACATCTCAACTCCCGATGTTCCATCTGAAAGCGTGGCACCTCAATGGTTCACTAGCATAGAGCTCCAGTGTTCCCAGCAAGTCTGTGAGGTTCTGCACAGCAGAGCTCCTGCAACAAGGAAAACATCCATCGGTAAAGGGACCTGTTTTACATACTGGGCCATCGAATGCAATATATTGCCACAAATCACCCCACTCCCCATAATCCTGGAAAACTTAATACACCTAAAACAGTCTAACCTCTTGTTAGCCTCAACATTCCATGCACCACGAGATGACACCATTTTATTTGCGCACCCCACAAACAAACGCTTTCTGAAGGGTCTTCAAGCCTTATATCCTGATGTCACCTCCATGAAAACCATGGGACCTTCATCTAGTATTAACACCACTAACAAAACTGCCCTTTGAACCTCTGGCCACATGTTCCTTGCACCACTTAACATTGAAAATGGCTTTCCTAGTGGCAGTTACTTCAGCACGGAGAGTAAGTGAACTGGCCGTGCTCATGTCCGATCCGCCCTTTATAATCTTTCTCAAAGATATGGTGTCCATGCATCCGCACCCGAAATTCTTACCTAAGATCTGTACAGCCTTTCACATTAACCAGACAATACACTTACCTGTGTTTTTTCCCAAAGCCTCACGCTTTGAAACCTTTGAAACACAAATGTACACACTGGATGTCAAAAGAACTCTCTCCTTCTACATAGACAGAACAAAGCCATTCAGATCCTCCCCACAGCTCTTTGTTTCCATTGTGAACCATACCATGGGGAAGAAAGTATCATCACAGAGACTATCCCATTGGATATCAGAATGCATCACCACATGTTATTCGCTTAATAACTTACCTCCACCTGCTTCAATCCAGGCGCACTCTCCAAGAGCAGTGGCAATCTCGGTGGCATACCTGAGAAAAGTTCCACTGGAGGATATTTGTGTAGCGGCAACATGGTCCCCGGATAACACCTTGGCAAAGCATTATTCACTTGCTTCAGGTCCTCTACTCCATACTAGACTAGCAAAAGCTGTCCTGCAGCCAGCATACTTACCCAATCCGAAGTCCCTACCTCCATAACAGGGATTGCCTGTAGTCACCTACTGTGGAGCACCCCCAAGGACATCTCTCTCGAAGAAGAGGAGGAGGTTACTCACCTCCTGTAACTAACGTTCTTTGAGATGAGCATCCCTGGGAGTGTTCCGTTACCTTCTCTTCGGATACAATTTCCTCCCCTCTACCTCAGAAACTCAGAAAAAGAAAAACACATAAATTACACTCTTCTGTTGGGTTCCGGATAGAGAAGGAACTGAAGGAGGGGGGCTGCACGTGCGCATAGCTACTGGGGGAAGTCCGCGTGCTCAGCACGCCGCGCATGCTCAGCCCCCCTAATGCACTGATAGGCAAAACTCTGTCCAGAGGCACTGGGATGCTCAGCACCTATTGTGGAGCACCCCTGGGGACGCTTATCTCAAAGAATGTCAGTTACAGGAGGTGAGTAACCTCCTCTTTTCTTCAGCGGGACTGATTTTTTTAAATTATTTTGTTGTTCATGGCAACAAGAACACCAATGTATTATAAAGCACCAACATTAACACACGTGTAGGCACACATCTTTTTTTTTTTTGGTAGCATTTGGGGTGCATGTTTGCTGCATCTACGTTAAACAGAACTGACGCTGTTAAATTGGAAACTATTTATATAGGTCAGCCATTCATGGAACCATGTGGGAAATGTCTTACAGGTATATAACAGGATAACAGGGAGGTGACACTCAGGTCAGTGGGGTTCTGAGCTCAGTGAAAGGGTGCTTATGGGTGTTTAGCACCTTGAGGGATCAGTACCAAAGTGCCCAACTCAATCTGTGTCTTCAAAAAAAATCTCTTCCCAAATATATACTACAGACCTGAAAACTATAATCATGTTCGGGTTGAGAAAATCAATTTCTTAACACTAGCTACTGTACATTTCCATTTCCATATGTATGATATGGGCAGAAATTTGCAATAATCGGAAACACTACTTAGTGATGAAAAAATATGTTTCAGTTAAAGGAAACTGCGGTGTTTATGTTAAAGAGGAACATTTGATTTGTGTTGAGCAAAAATTATATTCCTCTTAAAATCTCCTAAATGCAAGATGTAGCAGCATTTCATAAGTTTAGAATTCTGAACCTGTCTTAAACTTTCCTACAGAATTTCTAGTTTGATTTATAATTTGAGTTTTCAGAATTTAAATGTGCACACAGATACAATAATAAATGTATAATTCTAAAACTTCTTCTGTAGCCTGCTAAATGTGGATATGGAGCAGTTGTTTTTTAATGTTTCTGGTGACAGCATGACCTTTTGTCTGGCTTTCTGAATGATTACAGCTGAACTTGGAGAGTGTGAACACCCAGAACACACACCAGAGCTAGTGTCTGAATTCAGATTTTCACCAAACCAGACTGAAGCTATGGAATTTGATATCTTTCAGAAATGGAACGAGTGCAGGTATGGTGCCTGTGTGATGGTGTCAGCTTTAAAATAGATGCCCAAGAGATTCTTCTCCAAAATCAAATAATGCTGAATAGACCCCCTTGCTTTTGGATCAGTCTCAACACATGTTGTTTTAGGGTTTTCTAGACACATCTAGAACTCCTTTAAAGAAGTAGCAGGCATTGACATCAGACAGGGTTGTATGGTTAATTATCAATTTCAGCATTTTGGCTCCATTTTCTCTTCTTGAGGTGTTGAAGGAGTTTATTTTCTACAAGTGAGAGCCTTCCAAGATTCCTTCACATAATTTTTATATTAGGTAGTACCCTTAGAGAGCTATTTTTGACCACCCAGTCAGTCTCTCAAAGATTTAAGGTTTTTGATATAGAACCAGAAGCTTAAATCCAGCTCTCCGAATCAGATTTTTTAATGAGGGTGACGTTAAGACATGAACAAGGAATGGTTTAACCCTGACATCTCCATGTTAAATGCAAAACATTGAGGTCCTTTGATCAACAGGAGTTTCACTATTAGAAATGATGAAGATTGTATTGGCTATTTTGCAGCTTTTCTAAAACTTTGGAGCAGTTAAGAAACTGTATTATTGTGGTAGTACTATGCTATTTGCAACTATAACCAGTTATATGGCAGCAGTCCAGTGAAGTAAGAGATAATTATAGATAATAGAAAAGGAAGAACTTGGCTATTTTTAATATTTAATTACTCTCATCCTAACAAATGGCTATAGAGGCAATAATGTGCAGTTTTGTAAGTTTCATTTCCTCTTAATTTTGTAGAAACTGACCACGTTTTAGAGACAGTTTTATTTTTTCTGATAAGTCAATGCTTTGAATAATGGTAGTTTGGCTTATTATAGCTTCTTGGAGACTTTGAGCTTGTTATGGACTCTGATGATACTACATTGAAGTTGGGGTATGGTTTTCAAACAAAGTCTCCATTCTTGAGATACAATTGTTTCCTCCCAAACAAATAGTCATTAAAAAGCATGAAAGAACTGTGGATGCAAAATTGTTCCCTCAGAAATGGAAGTCCAGTTTAAAAATCAGGCCCCATAACATCAAAGTTCTTTTTTTATTCTTCTTCTTATTACTGAAGTGTATTCTACCATGCACATGAACCCAGAACATCTTGCAAGTAGTGTCCATTAGTCTGTGCCTGCACCTTGGAACTCTGTGTTTCTCTGTGCCCAGAACAATCCTTGCACTGTCTTCATCTCTCTTATAGATCATTATATGTCGTGTGTTAGTGTTTTTATAGAGTTTTATAATCTTCTGTTTCGTTAGTGTGGCTTAATTTTCCCCACCCTGAGGACTCTATGTCCCCCCCCCCTCCCCCCCCATTTGGGAGCAGGATTATGCTCAGAAATCTAGGATTTAAAATCTTTGTGTTCTGTCCTGGCTCCTTCTTGATCTCTACTGCATTGGTGCACATATTGCCACCAAATACAGTGTCTGTCACTTCTTCCAGGAGCCGGAGCTTCTTCCTCCTGTTACTGATAGTACTGAAAATGGACCTGGCTTTCTCATCCGCTGAATCCTATGTCCAGAATGAACTATCACTTCCCCTAACTAAGGAGATTAGGACAGACAGGGCTTCAAGGATTTCTTGGACCTGTCCTGGGCTCTGGTAGGATTACTCTACAAGAGGCTTCTGGTATATAATGGTTTCACAGTCTCACCATCTCCCCCATGTGCCCAACCAGCCTTTGGTCAGAGGGGCCCTATGGGAGATCCTTATGCATGACACCTGAATCTATGTATTCAACGAGAGTCATATTGTCCTCCTCCTCCTTGACAACAGCATCAGGCTTCGCTGGAATATGTGGAGGAAGAAAATGATGAGCTGAATCAGGTGATACCAACAAGTATAACTTCTTCCTCACCTGATGAGGCAATTGCCCCAGCTTCACCATTCCCAGCTTCTTAGAAGTTCAAGACACACAGAACAAACTCTGGGATGTTCTACAGCCCTCAAGACCCATTCAGGTAGCTTTTCTGGTGAATGCAGAACCAGCTAGAATGGTGTAGCATACAGCATCAGTCTGTACCTCTGTGGCAAAAAGGGCTGATAAATGTTACTTTGTGCTATGAAAGGGGCAGAGTTATTGTTTACCCACCTAGTCTTTAATTTCCTAGCAGTGCACAAGTTCCAAATAGTACCATCCTGAAACCACTGTTACAGACAGAGCTAAGCATATTGGCCTTTCAGGGAAGACGGTATTTACATCCACCGGTCTTCAGGTTCATATTCTCTAACCAGCAGGCCTTGCTAGCAAAATTTTATGAACTACACAAAATTCCTAGAATTCCAAGATAAAACTCCCCCAGGAGATCAGGGATTTAAATATCCCGCGCTTCATTAGCATGTTCACGGGCGGTTGCCATTTTGGAAATTGACTAGCCTGGAATAACTGCCCGCGTCTACACGCGGCAGTGAAACAGGAGTTCGAAGTAAAGCCCTTAATTCGAATTAGCTGTTAAACCTCATTCCAGGAGGAATAACAGCTAATTTGAGTTAGGGCTTTACTTTGAACTCCCGTTTCACTGCCGCGTGTAGACACAGTTATTCTGGGCTAGTCAATTTGCAAAATGGTGACCGCCCGGGAACATGCTAATGAAGCGAGGGATATTTAAATCCCACACTTCATTTGCAATTTTGGTGGCTCTCATTAGCCTCCCTAGTTCGAACTAGGAGGCTATTGTAGACATACCCAGAGGTACCTTTGTTGAGTAGGTTTTACCTCTTCCTAGACTGTGCTGTGAGCTGCAAAGTCAGGTGAAAGGATAAATCCACTTTCATGGCTCATCTTCATTGATAAGAGAGCAGGACAACAAATAATAGTCTGGCATAAATGGAGCTTGCCTCTTGGGAAACGAAATAACACTGTCTGTTGACAATCAGCCCTTCATACTAATTAATGTCTGTCTCCTGTCTGGTGATTTGCAGTCACAGAGGTTCAATTATTACCTCCCAGTATGGGATACAGATATAAGTGAGATTACTGCATGCAGCAACTTACCAAGCATTCAGTAAAGTCTAAACACGTTCTTGTAATTCTAATAGCTGTTTTAACAGTACGAATGCATACTTGAGCCAGAACATTGTAAGTGTTCAGTTGAGACATGGCAACTTTTGTATGAGCTGGCACCTGGTCTACCAGCATCACAGAGGAAAAATCATTAACAGGTATGTATGATGAAGTCTCTTCTATAGCTTTTCTTGCTCAGGTGACCACATGTAAAGCCCTGCAAATCTGTGGCTATCCACTCTATATCCAGGGGTATCCATATCCGTGGATGTAGATATCTGAATCTCATTTTTGCAGTCCAAATTTTGAATCTAGAATCCTGCATATTTGCAGATATTTGCTTTATATCCATGGGTATACATGTCGGTGGCTCATTTTTGTGGACACAGCTGTGGATGCAAAATTTTGTTTCCATGAAGGGCTCTAACTATAAGAACCACTATTCAGGTATCCAAGAGCTTAGAGGCCCATGTATGCAGTCCCATCTCTTGACGACCTCTACCCAACCTTATCCACTAGCTAACAGCTCCTTTTGACAGGACTTTGGAAGATTGCAACATAATAATGATAACATCCTCACCTGTTCCCACACTACCCTTTGGTGGCTGCCTACCATACTTTGTCCACAACTGTAACAGACAAGTGGATACTAGATATCATTAATTTGAGCTATGCCATCACATTTCTTTCTCCATCACCTCAGAAGTTCCTTTCTTGGGTAAACATTCTGCTCCTTCCTGCAGAGACTGCTCTCAGATCCTCCAGTAGTGGGTAGACTCACTCCTCAAATGAGGAATGACAGAGCAAGTTCTGCCTTTGCATCCAGAGAAAAGGGTTCTCTCACAATTGCAGAGTTCCCAAGGAAAAGAGAGGATGGAAGCTCTGTTCTTGATCTATCGCAATTAAATGTTTTTATTCATAAATTAAAATTCTGCGTGGTTATGTTGGACTGAGTAACTCCCTGTTTGGAAAAAAGGACATACGAGGAACAGCTCTGAACAAGAAGATGCATTTTATCACATGGATTTGGGCCTGTCCCAGAGAAGGTTCCTCAAGTTTGCTCTAGGACAGAAACACTGCCAGTTCAGAGGACTCCTATTACATCTGACAACAGCATCCAAGGCCTTCACAAAGGTCTTCTTACTGGTGACAGCACAGAAGAGACAAAAAGTTTAAAGCATTTTCTGAATTTGAATGGCTGGCTTTTAACACACAGATTCCATCTGAAAGTTCAGTTTTGGCAATTTTGTCCTTGCTTTGCTTCCTGGCATCCTTGGAAATCTGCATAAACATGGAAACATTTACTTGGACTCCCACACAGCTCCTAGACATTATCAGCAAGACCCTAGAATTGACTGCAAGCAAGAGTCTCCCAAGAGTTGCAAATGGACTCTTGGTTATGAGCAGTACGGTAAACCAAGTCACTCCTAAACCCAGAACAAAAGTCAGGCTCTCTTTCCATTTGTCAGGCTGCAACTCTGTTGCTGTAAGTCCTGGTATGTGTGCCAGACAGAAACAGCGTGAACACCATTGTGACAGTCACAGTCAATGTCAGGGCTTCACTCAGCACCCCCACGTCGAGAGCATTGCAGTCCCTTTCCTACTCTCACCCCACCCGGCACACATGTACATAGCCAGCATGATGATAATTATGGATGCATCCCTTGTAGGCAGGTGAGCCCACATAGGCAGTCACCCATCACAAGATACATACATGGACACCAGGGAAGACTGAGATGGGTAGTAATCTTTTGGAACTAAATGCAGTCAGACAGGCATGCAATGCTTTCCTCCCAGTGATATGATACTGACATATTTGAATATCTGGCAACAAGAGAGCTGTTTTCCATAATAATGAGGAGGGGCAAAATCCTTCCCAGTTTGCATAGAGACAGTCAACTTATGGAACTGGTGCATCTGGAACCACATCACAATTTCTGTGTTGCACCTCCCATGTGGTCAGAAC